CACAATTGTTATTATTTTACCATATAGTAATAATTAATTTAATTTAGTGTTACCAAATATTATGACTCAATCGCCGCAACTGGCAGACTACTATCGATTTGAAAAATTAGGAGACATTATCATTAGAAATCATTTTGAGATCAATATATCGTTTTTGGGAAAATCAGATGCACAAATATACATATGTTCACACCGGAAAATTAAAAAGGGCGAATGCCTCATTTTTATATTTGGTGGCTGGAATGGAAGGGCAAGTGTTATAAAAAAGTGTAAAGAAGGAGCATCGCCCACCAACTTCAAAGATAGTTTGGATAAATGTGAAGATATTGGAAATAAGGTATGCTTTATTAAAAGTATTTATCTTCTTTACTGTATACGAAATGTATAATAATCTTTTTATTCTAACCATGAACCTTTGTAATTTAAATAAATGTAATTAATTAAGTTAAAACGAACAATTTTTAGATTGAGCATAATCCAATGTTTTCAAACGATGAATGGAGTCAAATTTCTATTCAAAATAAAAATCGACGGTTAAAAGTAATAATCGATGATGTAGACTTATTATCATATCATACAAAATATGATAAAGGATTCAACAATTTTACGAAAATATTTGTACATTCAAGAAGACAAAATACGTTGTGGAAATATCATGAATGTAAGAACACTAATGTCATAGAGCCGCCAGGCCTTACTTATTTTCTGATAAACGATTGGTCAATTTGTGTAGTATAAGCGTATTTTGTTCATCAGAAATTTAGTTAGGCCTGGTGGCCCTGGAATCTTGGTGAAAATCGTTTGTGCATATTTCATTTATGTGTTTGATCTTAGATAAATATTACAAAGCTCGGAAACGCAACACTGGAATCATTAATAGCAATTGGTTCTATGTGGATTCAAATACTTTACATATTTCGTTGCTGGCAAATTTTGCGAATAATATTACATTACAACTGTATGATGTGTCGAAAGAACTCATTAAAACTGAATCCTATAAGAGTGATCAAAACACACAATGGAATTATATAACTTTTATTTCTGATGTATATGAAAGTGCTGAATATTATTTACGCATTTCATTTAATCCTAATGATAAAATGGCACTCAGAAATGTTGTTAGTCATTTAGACTACAATCAAAGTAAATGGAACAATTTCCATTTCTCATCAGTTGAGTACCCATTGGAATCAAAAAATTAAATTAAGTGTTCATTCCTTAAACACAAAACTACTGAGCTTGCAATTAAAAGGCCCAAAAGTAGTATAGATGTTTG